ATTAATGGCAAAGTATACGGGTGGCAAAAGAACTTTCCAAGGCGCCAGAGATTCTTATTTTCAACGATGTCGTATAGCAACGATACAATGTAATACTGGTGCTGTATTGACAACAATGAGTAAATATATAGGTGAAGACACTTGAGTATTGCAAAAAAAGTAGAAAGTGCGATAACGAAGAAGCGATCTTTGAACAATGAAAAAAAGAAAGCTTCAATAGGTAAAAGAAGAAAAGTAATATTTCATGACGATGATATACATTATGGAGATAATCGTCAAGAAAATGACATTTCACAGGAGGAATACCGTCAATTAAAAAAGGAACATTTTAAAAAACTAAAGGCTCAACAAAAGAAACGAGATAAGATTGAAGCAGACACCATTGCACAGAGCGATTGTGATGAATGGCATGAAATACGAAGATTTCTTTTAACTGCTTCAAAATTCGGGCAAATTTGTAAAATGCAAAAAACTACCAAACGAGCCAATCTTGTGCAAAACATATTGTATCCAGTACAGCTTGATCTGGAACAATTGCATTATGGGTTAGAAATGGAAGAAAAAGCAAGAGTTTGTTTGCAAAATAAAATGAAAGTAAATGTTGAACGAGCAGGTTTGTGCATCGATAAGGAAATATGTTATTTGGGTGCTAGTTTGGATGGTAAGATTGGCACAGATACTGTGTTTGAATATAAAGCACCATTTACTGCACGTAACTGTACTCTGTCTCAGGCTTTAAAACTTGATAATATTAAAAATATTTTCGATCGTAACAACAAAAACAAAATGAATAGAAATCATTCATACTATTATCAAATACAAGGCCAAATGCGAATCAGTGGAAGAAGTAAGTGCATTTTTGTACTTTATACAAAAAATGGAATTCACTGCGTAACCGAAAAATACGATGAAAAATTTTGGAAAACTAAAATGAAAAAAAAATTGGAGGATTTTTACATGTACAGTTTATTACCGGAAATTTTAAATCCTAGGGTATGTAGGAATATGCCTATCAAGGAACCAGAATCTGTGATTAAGGCTCAAAAGGAAGCGAAAGATAAACCTAAAAAAGTGATAAAGGCAACGATTAAGAAACGACCACGAAAGTCAAAAAGATCAAAACTTGGGCGAGGAAAAATTGATGTTACAGTTGAGGAAGAGGAAGAAAATATAGTAAAAACTCCTAAAAAAAAGTTATCATGCGCTAAAATTGAATTAAAAAAATTTAAAGAAATCGGAAAATCAAGAAGAACTAGTTCGACAAATATGGGTTCGAAAAATTGGCAAAAATTAAAAACTAACATTAAAAAAAATAAATTTCAATGCCTGAAAAAAAAATGCACGCGCACGCAAAAGATATGATTTCGCAAGTTGAAAAGAAAATTCCAAGCTCTAGTGCTAAAACTTATAATTCCAACCCAGATGATTCGATAATTATAGATTTGACTAGTTATAGCGATGATTTGGATCCTTCACAACTTGAAGAAGTTGAATGTTCAATTCAAAATATTGCAGATGATAACGATTCGGATGCAGGCGAAAACCCATTGAACAATGCATAAATTCAAGAATTTTTCGATTTAATTAACAGCGAAATTCAAGAAAATACAAATGTAGCAAATATCATGAATGAAGAATATAAGTTAGAAGATTCAGATATACAACTCACACTCAGAATTCTTCGACAATATTTGCCGGAATTTAAAATACACGATGTCCAACATTTTTCTCATAGAACTTTAGTGCAGCCTGCAGAATTGGGTGAAAATTGTTTGCAAATAATTGGAGGTGCCGAATTTGCACATTGGATTTGCTTACACTACGATGGACGTGATCTGACACTATATGATAGTTTGTGCAGGGTAGAATATACTATGTTGGCCTCAGATGAGAAAAAATACTTGAAAAAACGGTTCCCGAAAGTAGAAGCAAGTAATATTTTGATCCCGTGGGTTACAAGGCAACCTGATTCAATTTCTTGCGGAGCTGTAGAAATAGCACTGGGAGGAAATCCAACATTGGTCAATTATTCACAAGATGTAATGAACATGAGATCACATTTAGTTGAAATAATTAGAACCAAACAACTTTCGCTTTTTCCACGTTACTATTAACTGAAAATATTGAGTGTGAATATGTGTGAATCGGTTTTGCGTACAATAGCATAAAATCTATAATTTTTTCAGTAGAACGATAATGTTTACACATATAAATATTAATTATACTTTTTCTATTTCAGAATACCGCGTTTTGATTATACATATAATTTAATAATTTGTAAGATTTTCAGCTTGCTAGAGATTGTGAATTAAATAATTCAGATGCCAGAACAGGCTTGGTATGGTGTTTGGAAATTCCGATGATTCTAATACAAGGTGTCAATTTTTTTGGTGAGTACAAAATATTATATATAAACAAAAAATTATTATATTTAACAAATAGTCAATAAATATTCGTAATATTTCTTTTCAGGTGTACCCTGTTGGATTTTCGAAACATGCTGAACCAAGAAATTTGTTTTTCAGACCATTATCGTTATCTATTCCAATTTGCAAATCTACAATAAAGTAAAAACATTTGACTATTCAAAAATCTATTTTGTTGTTTTATTAAATGGAATTATTTTCATTCGGAAAACTCATAAGCTCAGCACCAAAACCCAAATAACCTATTAACACAGGGAACGTCGTACAGTTGAAATATTCGGAAATCATGAACAAATTGAATTAAATTGTCTTAGCAGACAAATACTCCCTCACAAGCAGGAGTTAATTATTTTCGGATCAAATTTGCACATACGAACGGATTCTCTAATGAGCTCTCCTATGTTGAGTTTAAAATAGAAAATGACATTTCTAGAGTCTCCTGCTTTGAAAAACTCGCAATATAGTCGTTTGAAACTCGACTAAAAGACCACGCGGATATAGTCGGATCGGCGCCCATCTGGCTAGACAACGAGATGTTTCAAACAGCCATGTGCAGCTAAAAAAAACCTGAAAATCGACTTGATTTTAAACATAATTAATTCTACATGTTTTTTAAATAATTTTGAGAGTCCACCGCGCTCGTTAAACCCAGTGTCGTTTTACAACACCCTACAGAACCGGGACGCGGATGCAGCCGGATCGGCGTCCCATCTGGCAAGACAAGGAGATGTTTCTAACGGCCGTGTGCAGCTAAAAAAAACCTGAAAATCGACTTGATTTTAAACTTAATTAATTCTACATGTTTTTTAAATAATTTTGAGGGTCCACCGCGCTTGTTAAACCCAGTGTCGTCGTACAACACCCTACAGAACCGGGACGCGGATGCAGCCGGATCGGCGTCCCGTCTGGCAAGAGAACGAGATGTTTCAAACGGTCGTGTGCCGCTGAAAAATGACTGAAAGTGGAATTAATGTTTAATTTCAATTATGCTCAATGATTGATCAACAATTTTTATAGCCTGATCCGCGTCCCGTCTGGCTAAAATACGTAAGGTTGAATTTGGCGGTTGTAACGATTTAAATTTTCCGAAAATTGAATGAATTTCACATATAAAGAAAAAAAATGATTGGAAAGGAGCTAATGATTGGTTGAAAAGAAAATAGTAATTTATTTAAAAAAAGGCTTTATTTTTAATGATGTTATATTCAGTATTACATTTTTATAATAATTATTAATATCAATAATAGTAATACAATAATAATTATAAGGGGGTTTTTTGGGGCGTCTCAATAATTATAACAAATTGTGCTAGATTAAATAATAAATTGAAATATAATAATTTATTGAAAATATCAAATAAGATGCCAGTTCGTTGGTTTTAATAAATAGGGCGCCACCACGTGAACGCGGCATGTGAACCGAAAAATACAAAGTAATAAAATAATAATAGTTGATTGATATTATTCTGATAACTGGTTTCGTCTTTTTCGTATACAATCCTTCTCGTCGTCACTGTTACAATTAATTATTCGTCTAGCGTAGCGGAGAGCAATTAACACTCGCGAAAAAGTCTCAGAGGGACGCGGGGTCACGGGGGGGGGGGGGGNGGGGGAAGATTCTACTACTCGCGCGAGAGAGCTCGTATTCTTATGCGTCTAGGTTATACTTAAATTAGCTTACGATAATTTTCTTCTTTCTTCGTCGACAATTTCTGGTGGCCGGCTTTCTCGAAGTTGAACGTCGTCACCAGGGATACGGCGAAGATGGAGACACACTTTCGAGATTCGATTCACTTTAATTTCTTTGGCTTTCCTTCTTTTCTTTTTAACACGACACGACTCGCACATGCGTTGCGTATTAGCAGACTTGCTGTAGTAATATGGCCGACTCCTACGTGGTCGTACTCGTCGTTCTCACGTGTCGTCTGAAGCGACACGCGAGCGGCAATCGATTATTGATCGATAGGTCGATGATTCTCGTCTGCTCATTTCACGTGTCGACGCTGTGAGTTTCTGTCTGGTATGTGTTCGCTGTTCATTACTCGTCTGCTGCTGGATGTTTGATCTCGATGGACTGTCTCGTGTTCGCACGTATGATGTGAGTTTTCGTACGCAGTAATTCTGATGTTTAGCTTGAGATTCGTCTCGACCGAGGTGCAGGTGTCGAACTAACCTGTCACCTGTCAAGTGATGTTGATGTTTAGTGGCCTCTTTGCTCATATCATTCTTTATTGTATTCGTCTGGTGATAAGTGTCTCGTCGTCTTGGTTCTGATCTCGTTGCTTGCTTCTCTCTCTTCTCCAGGTTTCAGGTGCTAAAGTGTAGGTGGGAAAACATAGATGTGTGATAGGGGCATAGTGTATAGGGTTCGTCTCGTCGTAATACTTATTTCTACGCGTGAGCTCAAGAGTGACTTTCATCGACTTGTAGCGCATTCGAGTATGCCGCTACATAATAATATGATAATAGTAATACAATATTTATAGTAATAATGATAGTAATAATAATTAGTATTAGACAATAATAACAGTAATAATAGTGATAATAGTATTAGATTTTATAATAATTATTAATGTTAATAATAGTAAGGGTAGTATCTATTATCACGGTAGCCGCCACGGTAGCCGCCGCGGTATCCGCTACGATATCCACCACGGTATCCGCCTCGGTATGGCTCACGGTAACCTCGAAAGCCTCGGTATTCACCATAGTCGTTAATATCAGGCTCAATTACTTGCTGCAGTTGCATAAGCTGCAACTGTTGCAACTGCGAAACTTGCTCAATTTGTTTAGCCACCGGCAGTTGCTGCTGTTGTAGAGGCAGCATAATTTGCTGTTGAGGCTGGTGTTGGGTTGGTGGCAGCATGATTTGTTGTTGCAGTTGATGCAACTGCAGCTGTACATTCCTGACATGCTGAAGCCGCTCATTATCATAATAGTGAACCGCTTCAGGCTGCTGTTGATGGCCTTGGAATTGCGGCGGCAATTGCTGCAGCTGCTGATGCGGGCCTTGGAATTGCAGCGGTAATGGCTGCAGCGGCTGAGGAAGTGCTGGCTGTCGAGGAGGTGCTGGTTGTTGAGGTGGTGCCTGCTGCTGTAGAGGCACTTGCTGCTGCTCGTGCTGTAGAGGCACTTGCTGCTGCTCGTGCTGTTGAGCCATGTTCAGTTTTCAGAATGATAAATATTCGGAATCGTAAATATTCGGAATATTTAAAATTCGGAATGTTTGAAAATCGGAATATTGAAAACGGAACATGAAAAATTCGGAAAAACAAAATTTCGGAATAAAAAAATTTCGGAATGAAAAAATTTCGGAAAAATTAAAATTCGGAATCCACAAAATTTTTAATGGGAAATTTTATTGTCTACATTCTCCACTAACAATATTGTGGATTCCGAATTTTAATTTTTCCGAAATTTTTTTATTCCGAAATTTTTTTAATCCGAAATTTTGTTTTTCCGAATTTTTCAGGTTCCGTTTTTAATATTCCGATTTTCAAACATTCCGAATTTTAAATATTCCGAATCTTTACGATTCCGAATATTTATCATTCCGAAATCCGAACATGGCTCCTCGTGCTGTTGACGCACTTGCTGCTGCTCGTGCTGTCGAGGCACTTGCTGCTGTGGAGGTACCTCCTGGTGATCGCCCTGTTCCTGCTGTTGTTGCTGCAGTGCACGGAGTAGATTCGCCTGGTTCTCGGGGTCGAGAGCATTTCCCATGCTTCTCGTTCTTCTTCCTATGAAAAAAATAAATACGAAAAAATTAGATTAGAACTAGAAGAGAGAGAGATAAATAGAATAAAAGTATATTAATATTATATTGTTGGGCATACACAAACTGTAAAAAAATCCACGCGGGTACAATTCATCTACAATTTAGCAAATAGACAATTAACTACAAATTCAACATGGAAAAAAGAATGCAGCAAAGACGAAATTCTAAGTACAGGAAAATACGTAGGTAATATGCACGGAAATACGTGCGGGACTACGACGTCGAGTGCCACACACTCGATGGGCAAAATTGCATTGAAGTTAATTTTGATTCGCCTTTTCTTAACAATTAATTGTTTGATTTTTATTTAATTTTTGTCCATCGAGTACGTGGCACTCTACGTTGAGGGATAGTCCGTGTATGTATGTAAATATAATTTGTATAAGCTTACCTGTGTATGAAGAATTGTTTGACATGCTGCTGATGAAGAGGGATGAATAAAACTTGGACTTGGTATTCGCAAAATGAACGACGTATCTCGTTGCCTCGCTTTGAGCGGACTAACAAAGGCCGAGTCTGCGAGTCGCGCTGCGTGTCTCTCCCACTCGACAGCTCAAAAGTCTGTTGTGACTATTCACTGTAGATAGGCGGGCATCTCTATACACTGAAAGCAGCTCAGGCGACAGCGCCGTGAATTCGCAGTGCTGCTCCGTGAATTCACAGCGCTACTCCATGAGTATCGCAGCTCGGGGGTATACGCGTGGCTCGGGGGTTTTACCGCGCTACCGCCAGAAACTGTTTTCAGTTTATCTTACTAGTACTCGCTTGCTTCGTTCTTGCCGTTTGGAAAAATTATAAACATCGAAAATATTACAAGTGGAAATGATGAATCCGTTAAATGTGGTTGCATTGAATTCACAGAATTATATTTTGATGAACACAGAAAGGCCATGTAATAGAAAATAATACCGAAAAATTGGTAAAATTTGATTACACCGAATTACCGCTAATGCCACCTCTATCGTGTGCAGATATTAATAATACTTTACTTGTTATACCACGTTATAAATTATAAGAATGTATTTTTATTGATAAATTGTTCTAAAGAAAATATGATGAGTTTTTTTTTAAATTAAAGAAATTATAAGAACATAATTTGTATTAACATTAATATTCGTATAATAAAGCTGAATGCAAGAGCATAACGTTGCATAATGATCAATATACAACGTTCATAACATGGGGTCTATCGCGGTCAGCTATACGTTAGCTTACCGTCAGCTATACGTTAGCTTACCGCGATAGACCCCCCAGCGCACACGCGTGCGAGTAGGCGAGCTGCCACTTTCATTCAATGCGCAGTTGTTGCTCTACTTAAGGCATCGAGTGCTCGTGGTCGAATGCTAACCTCTGCACACACCGCGATACAAAGCACACAGCATGCATACCTCATGAAGGTAAAATTTCAAACCCACTACTACCTACCAAAGGTAAAACAATGCACAAATTGCTTCAGATACCATCATGTTAAATCTGCCTGTAAGTCCAAAAAAAAGATGTATCTACTGCGGTAACTCCGATCACGAAAGCACGCTCTGCACTCAAAAAACAGAACCCACCTGTATCAATTGCCAAAACCAACACTTACTAACTGACAAAGACTGCCCCACCCGAAAGATTTTTTTTTTTAACTGTAATCTTTTTATTTAAAATCTATCAGTACAAGACAATAATTAAATATACTTAGCGTGCATTGAGCGAATAGCGCGAGTCTATAGGGTGCGCCATTGTGCACCAGACAGTTTTAAGCGAATTAATTTGTGGGTTTGTCCTAAAATGGCTGGACCGAGTTTAGCTGATTTACAGGCTCTGTGCCTTCTTGAGGTCCCTATCTGAAAGTCCCTATTTTCTGCGTAGCTCTGATAGCGCGAACTCATTGCTGCCTGCGTCGTCTTCTTCGGTCGTGACAGTGTTGGTCAATTCTCAATCGATGAATAGCGATACGGTGGACATGGCATCGCAGCCTGAAGACCGACGGTAGTGTTTCTTCTGCCGATTTGGAGAGATTCAGAGACGAGATGATGTCACGCTTAGAGACCTTTTTCGCGAGTCAGCGCGCTCAGACGAGCAGCGATGAGAGGCGCGCGTTACGGCTTCGGGCGATGCGCCGCGTGGACCCCCACGTACCGAGATTGTATTTCAATCGTTTTGGCGGAGCGCTCCGGCCCTTTGGTTTTCGATCCTCGAGGAGCGATTCGGGCAGAAAAATATTACGGACGACAGTGAGATGTATTTCAATGCCATGCGTTACATTGATGAAGATCTGGTCAGAATTGTGTCGGTCTTGTATTAATTGTCAGCTAGCTAAGGTCGGTCGACATACGTTGCCGACCCCGTTACACTTTGACACCCCGGATGCGCGATTTGACCTCGTACGTATAGATATCATAGGGCCATTACCGGTGAGCGACGCATACCGTCATCTTATCTTATCGGATATAGATATACAAGGTGTCCCGAGGTCGTACCCTTGCGCGATATCAGGGCTAAAACGGTGGCGAGCGAGTTTCGCAAGTGCTGAATAGCACGTTTCGGTTCTCCGATTATTAGCTTTTGCGAGTCCTGGGCATAAAACGTTGTCGCACTACTAGCTACCATCCGGCCGAGAACGGCATGATCGAACAATGGCACAGATCCCTCAAAGGGGTTACCGACAAAATCTCCGCGCGACAAAATCTCAGCGACATAATCTCCACGACGAAATCTCCGGAGACAAAATCTCCGGGACATAATCTCCCGGGAAAAAAACAGGCACGAAAAAACACTATCACGCATCCCAATCACACTTATACATATAAGACACGAGTGAGATCCACTATGAGAGGGGGGGTGTGAACAATTAACTAAATTTTGTTTCTGAAATAGGAGTGGAGGTTTATTGAGAATTCTTAAAACTATATTTTCAATCATAAACCTGTCTTACCTGAAATAAGAGAAACGACAATTAAAGCTAATTGACCACTCTCTTTAAACACATGTATACAACTGACAATTCAGACTCATTCGTCTTATACACTCATACTCGGATAATATTTACAAACTTATATGAGGTGCGCACATATGATACAGCGCCTCAATTATACTTTAAAGAAACTAAGTTTTCTTCACATACATATACTAAACCCACAATGATGCATCCCAAACACCCTTATACATTGTAATGCCAGGCTTCGCGGGGGTTCGTAATATTACCACGTAAGCTAATTACAAAGATACATGCAGTCACACACACAAGCACGCTGTGGGTTTGGGCGGAAATGACCACTCGTGTACACTGGCTAGATTAAGAGAGAATTAATATAAGATTTATTGAAGAGTATTTAAGTTAAATCAAAAGTATAGTGGACATACAATTAGGCCCGTAGGCCGGGTGTACAAATAACTAGAGGGGCCTCCGCCGAACCGGGCGTGAACGGGCTGGCGCTGAGAGAGAGAGAAATTTAATGGCCGCGTGATCGATCAACAGGTACTCACCGGCTGGAGTTTGAATTTTATTTCGGCGTCAGACCCGCGTTCCACAATCGGAAGTTCCTTGGGCTCTCAGCACAATGGAACAGCACAAAGGCTAAAGTCACTCTTTGTAACGAAGCACAATAATTATCAAATGATTTTACTCGCGGTAATTAGAATCTCAATTACGTGCGTACGCGCCAATTGCCGAAATAACAGTCGGCTCTCGATCGTGTCGTACGGCCCGCGAGCAGCTCCGAATTCTCTCTTTCCCCCTCTCAGCGGCCGTCGGCCGCACCCGGCTCGTCGCACGGAAGGCGACATAGACGTCAGGCGCGTCTGCCTCGGTTCCACCTGCCTTTTAGGCGTAAACGGTTGTGCAGAGCATGCACAATAAACAAGTAGTCTATAATATAATAAATGAATAAATAATGTATAATAATAAGTAATTATATTGTATTTGGGCCTTTGCCTCATGAACGGGAGAGAGAGAGTAACGGATATTATATCCGTTACAACATATACTAAACCCACTATAATGCATCCCAAACACTTTTATACACATACAAAACACACTATCACGCATCCCAACACATTATGACGTATTCCAAACACACTTATACACATACCAAACACACTATCACGCATCCCAACACATTATGACGTATCCCAAACACACTTATACACATACCAAACCCACTATCATGCATCCCAATTCACTATCACGCATCCAAAACACACTTATACACATACCAAAAACATCTAATAAATAGAAAAATATAAAATAAAATTCAGCGGAGATTTTGTCCCGGAGATTTTGTCCCCAGAGATTATGTCGCGGAGATTTAGTCGCCCGGAAATTTTGTCGCGGAGATTGTGTCGCGGAAGATTTTGTTAGCGGAGATTTTGTTAGTGGAGATTTTGTTAGCGGA